ATTATATCCAACATTGTCCTTAAAATGAATGGTTGTTCATACTTTTTTGGTGCAAGTCCCAGGAAGAGATTTTGGTCATCTCAGAATAATCTCTACTCAGTAGAGTGGCAGTGATGAGAAACTGGAAGGAAACATGAACAGTCTTCATACAAAGCACTAAATCATTTATAGGTCAATGAGTGGTTTTGGCCTTGGCTTACACATAACTAGCTTATGTGGAATGAACTTAAGTTCAAAGGATTGATTTCTCTGTTGGCCACGTCCTGGAGGTAGCATCTAAAATCCTTGTGGAACAGGATTTAGAAACAGCATCAACGTATTCTCACATCGGTGCTATTCAATAACAAAGTCTTTACAAAGGCATTCTTTGGCCAAAGTACCAATACTCTTTATCTCCACAGAAAAACCCAGGAAGCTAAAGCATAAAAAGATAGAAATTGCTAACCGGTATCGGTCAGTAAGAGCTTTCAATATCCCTCTTTAAAAACAACTTTGATTTTTTTCCTTGCCTCCTTTATGTAAGCTCTCTTGACACTGACCTCATTCAGAATATTTTACCTCTCTATTCTTCACTTTAAAGAAGTTTGAAAAATGCCAGTCAGTAAAATGGAAAGGGAAAAACTGCAAGTGCTCTTATCCTTTGCTTCATGTCTACACAGTCTGGATCTTTTTCTCATCAATAAGAAGTCGCAGGTGCATTAACCCTTGTTTAGACTATCCCACAAAGGTGTTTGGAAGTTTACTAATTCGCAGGTGAATTCTCTGCCTTTGGTTCAGTTTTATGTAGACAAGATAAGGCTAGGAAGATTTAGAATATCTCACTGTGTCACCACCTCTGTGAACTCAAGATTATCATTCATTAACCTCTAAGATGCTTTGTCTGACAAATGAGATGGGTTGTCTCAAAGAACTACTAGAAGTCAGTTTCCAACTGTTCATTTGTTACATTTACATATCACATTTGCCGTCCCCAGTCATGTTTGTGTGTGGTTTGCTGTTCGATTTCTTCCCTCATGTAAACTAGTTCCCTTTTCTCATTCCTCTGCTGCGTGGAAAATATTGCTTTCTAAAAACCTGAGTGTCTTCCTTGAGTCCTCCTTACTCCTCACACTTAAACAATCATTAACACAGAAAATTTTTTAAAAAATTTTCTTCCTATGCCGATAAGGTAGTTCTCCTTAACACAAAAATACAAATCACTGAACCAACCTTCTGACTTGCTGTCAAACTACAACTTCAAACTTCCAGTACTTTTTAGGGGGAAGCAAACCATACCAGCATATTTTAGGGCTTATTCCTGAGTCTGCACTCAGGAATCACTCCTGGTACTATATTTAGGGGCTTGAGGGATCATATGGCATTGGATTATAATTCCAAGCATTTTAGGTTTAATTTTGATTTGTCTTTTCTCATCCCGCAGGGAGCTTAGGCTTATTGAATTACTCCTACTACAGTGCTCCTGTTCCCAAGGCACATCCAAGTTCTATCAGGCACTTCCAATCCTTTGTGTTTATCCTTAACTTCTCCTTTGTGTTCTTCTTCCTCTACCTGTTAATCACATATATTCCTAAATCCCCAAACATATCCCCTGTAACTTGTAAAGCCAAATTCTTCTGAGGGCTCTGGATTTTGTGTATGTAAGTGAAATATTGCTTTTCTCTCTCCTTTATGTCCTTTCCATAGCTTATTTTAGAGCAATGTATTTTTTTTTTTATAAACCCAGGAAGACCGTTCATGCTAGGCTTTCATAACTTGGGAGTTAATTGATTCCAAATAATACTTACTTCTGGCCATTTGTCATATTTGCTTGACGTAAGCTTCAGTTGCCCTTAGTTCCTAAGACCCCCCAAATGGGGGGAGATCCCAATGAGGGACAAAGACCTAGGGCAAACCATAAGCTACCCTGGATTCGAAAAGGGATCAGCTAAGCACCATAAGAAGTTAAGAGTTCAGTCATGGAACAAACTGTCATGACCCAAAAAAGAGGTGATTGAATTAGGACCCTGCTGGGGTTAGGAAAGACTAACTGGGTCTGACGACTGTAGTCTGGGATATATAGCGAGGTGTCCCCAGGAAGAGCCACCCTTTAAATTTAATATATCTCTTACTGTGTCCATACAAAATGACAAGAAATAAATTTAAGATTACTGTTTAAATAGATTACTAACTAAGGAAGGGAGAAAGCTATATACCTGTAAATGGAATTCCACCTTTGGGTGAATCTCCTAGTAGGGAACTTGGGTGCTGAGCCCTTAGATGAGATTTTGTCCTTGGGTAAATCTCCTAGAAGAATTTCCCCTGAAGGAAGGGTGTTTTACATCTGTTCATTGTTTATAATAATGTTCAATCACATCTATGTGCAATAATTGCTCCCCCCATGATTTCTCTATAACTAATGCTGTGAGACTTGAATAAATGGCCGCTCATTACCAACCAGCCTGGTGGCCCCATTTTGTCCATTGTTGTCAGCCAGCCAGGGGGGTAGTGGTGATTGGCCCTGAACACATCAGGGGACCCTTGGGTCACCATGGGCAGGCCAGTGACCCTCAGAACAGTGACATCAATCATATAATATGGAATGCCAGGGATTGAAAACACAATGGCAGTGGACAAGCACCGTACTCACTGTATTATCTCTATAGTCCCTGGTCCTGCCTTTTTTTAACCCCAATTCTTCCCATATTCTCCTATCTGTTTGAATTCCCTAAAATAAAAATCTGATGATCTGATGACATTCTTTAAATCTTTTGAATCCAGCCCTAGTTATTTCCCAGTGTTAAAAAATAAAGTATAACGCCTTAGTTGCAGTCTTACTTTTTTCAGACTTTCAGCTCTTCTCATTCACTCAGCAAACATTAATCCCACTCAGCTCCATAATACCACTTACCACGGAACCCGTGATCCAGCCTACTTTGCTTATTCTGAGACCACCTTTCTACCTTTGCCTTCTTATGCAATATTCAACTGGCATTTATAGTTGCCCTATGCTTCTTCGAACTCCTATTGTGTCTTGTAGCTCCAGTTCAAACAACAGACACCAAGAGCAATTGGACTTATTACAATGTGTCCTCCCCACTGCGATGTCGGCTCCTCTACATTATGTAGCCCTTGCCTACTATCAGCCTAAAGTATAATGGCATGTAATAAGTGCATATTGATTAAATTTATTCAACCAATCAATCACAACCATCCTGTTATTCGTCGATTGCCTCGAGCAGGCCCCAGTAACGTCTTCTTCGTCCTAGCCCTGAGATTTTTTTAAAAAGTGCCATATTCAAGGCTCTTTCAGAGTTAGGAGAATGAGACCCTTCATTGTTACTGGTATTTGGCATATTGGGTACGCCACGGGGAGTTTGCCAGACTGTGCCGTGTGGGCAGGTTACATTCGGTAGCCTCTAAATTTATTAGAAGGGTTAAATAAAGAGACATGTTAGGGAGTTGAAAAAGATAATCTTCAGAGTTCTTTCCAACCCTCCAATTTTTATTGAGCATATTAATCAATATGAATCAATTTTGAAAATAACATATATACATAACTCCCACCTCAAACCTCAAGGTAGTCTCAACATGAGTTTTAGATCAAAATAACCAACTCTTTATTAAATACTTATAAATGCTGAGAGGACATCTTAAATTCACTATGTTCCAAATGAACTCATTGGGCCACACAGTCTGCTGATTTCCTCCAGTTTTCTAGTATTTGCTAGAACATCTTCCTACTCTTTGGAATCTGTCTTAAAAAAATATTCAGGATGAGGGCAAGAGAGATATTACAGTGGGTAAGGCACTTTATTCGAATCTGGGTTAGATTCCTGACATCCTTTATGATCTCTTGAGCATTGCTTGGGCATTGCCAGGAGTAATTACCAAGTGCAGAGGCAGGAGTAACCACTGAGCTGCGTTGAGTGTGGCTCAATGTCCACCTCCGTCCACCCCCCTCCCCCCCACCCCCTCCCCCCCGCCCCCACACACAAAGCCACGCAGGCATGGATGGCACCATTCTCCTCTCTAAAATCAGATACCATCTAGACCCTTGGGTTTTCTTTGTCCCAAGAGCAGTTCTTTTCCTCACTCCACTTCCTTCATCCTTCTAAGATGCACTCCTTAACCGGTCCACCACTCGGTTCTGGAAGAGCTCTATTATGCTTGTAAATTCCACAACTCTTAGCACAGGGTTTAGCAGGAGTATAGCAGGTGCGCCGCAGCTCTAAATAGAATGTCTGAATGGATGACTACATTTAAATTGTCTTAAGCCACGGATGCTTTATATACGTATTTTTTTTTTTTTGGAGCTCCCTCCCATCACATAGTCTATATAGTAAAAGGCAGACGAAATAGGAAAAACCCAAATTTTAAGAATCGGACAACTGAATCCGTTAACGCGGAGTTACTTGCAACAACTGGCTGGAGAGTGCATCAAGAACACGTTCTGTTTTTAAAGATTTAAGAAGGTCCCTCGGACGCAGTCTCTCGCTAAAACCGTGCAGGATCCAGGTTTCCCACCTCCTCGAGTGGCCTGATGTGCTGCGGGGGAGGAGCAATGAGCACGCTGGGCCGGAGGCTTCGGAAGAGCGGGATGGGGGAAGTTCCGGAAGTCATTGACAGAGCGAGCGGCCGCCTCTGCAGGATCGGCCCGGGCACGGGTCCCAACAATAACAGGCGCTCGCGCGGGGAGGGATGAGGGGGGGTGCGCCTTGGGCCCGAGCTCGGGGGTGGAGGGGAGGAACCTGGACTGGGAAAGGGCGGGTGGGACGCTTCCCAAGACCACAGGTGATTGGAGGAGAGAAACGAGGGCTGGTGCAGCTCCAGGGAGTGAGCCCGGGAGCTAACGGGTCCCCGGCCGGGGGAGAAAACACATTGATTGGACCGTGCGGAGGGAGACGGACGGGAGCCGGTCTCTGATTGGTCGCGGCGGCCAAGGAGGCGTGGCCAGAACTCGCCAGAGGGAGCGCGAGGGAGCGAGCGGCCCGCCTGCCTGCCTGCCTGCCTGCCAGCGAGCCCGAGCCGCGGGGCGGACGCTGGGAGCAGCGGCCGGGCCGAGGAGCGCGGCGCGGGCGGGCGTTCCTCGCAGCTTTGCTGCCGTCGCCGCCGCCGCGATCCGCTGCTCGAGCGCTCCTCGTCCTTCCGTCCCCTCCCCTGCTCTCCAGCCTGGGGTCTCGAGGCGGGGAGCGGAGGGAAGGGACGGAGGAGGAGGAGGAGGAGGAGGAGAAGGCGGCGGCGGGAGCCGTGGGAGGGGCGGAGGGGGTCCCGGCGCGGGGCGAGGAGCCGCCGTTTCCTCGCCCGGTGCCACGGCCCGCGCGCGCGGGGCTCCCGGGCGCCCGCACTATGCAGGCGGCCCTGCGGCCGCGGCGATGGCGAGCCGGCGGGTGCTGAGAGCCGGCTGCCGCGAGCACGGGGTCCGGGGCTGGGCCGCGGCCGCCCTGCCGGGCCCCGGCCCCGGCCCCCTCCCTCCCCGCGCCAACTCCTCCTTCCCCATGCCTCCGGCCCTCCTGCTGTTGCTGCTCCTGCTCCTGCTGCTCGAAGACGCCCGGGCGCAGCAAGGTGAGGGGTCCCCGAGCCCGGTGCGCGGCGCCCCCGGGGCTGATGGAGCGCGAGGCTGGGGGCGCCTCCGTGGGAGTACTCGCGGGGGTGGGGTGGGGGGAACTCCCGGGGCCTGGAGCGGAATCTGCAGGCTCGCTGGGAGAAGATGCTCCCGACAGTGCTCTCCCCCTGCGTGGCCCGGCTTTGGGGAAAAGGCCAAGGTGGGCTTCCTGGCTCCTTGCAACCTCAAGTTGGTGGCGCTGGGCTCGTGTGCTCGAGCCCGTTTCTTTTCTTTTCTTTTTTTCTGAAAAGGAAAAGAAGTGAGACTCGGCTGCGAAGCCACAGTCTTTTATTTATTTATTTATTTATTTATTTGTTTTAGGAGGGGGAGGCCCGGGGCGGGGAAGGGTGCGCCTTTTTTGTTTGCTCCTCAAGAGATGCCGCGGAAGAAGTTTTGGGGGCTGCGATTGGCCCTAAAGTTCAGCTCAGTGGTCGGATGGCCGGAGGAGGAAGGCATGGAAAGGAACTCTGTCGGATACCCAGGGAAGTCAGGAAGTGTTCATTAGCATCGTTGGGGAGAGTCGCTCGGATGCAACCCGAGGATGAACTGCGTTCTGGCCAAGTTCGGGATTCAGAACTAGCCCTTTACAGTTCCAGCCTGTTGTTTAGGAATGGTGCTTTAGGCAGACCCAGGGCAACGTGCTAGTGGGGTAGGGGCTAATGGGGGGGCGGGGGACCCAAACGGGAGCATTCCTCCTTGAACGGGTTAAACCCATTTGGAAGTACCAAACTTCCGCCTCTCCCCTTGCCCCCCCTCCCTCGAAGCTCGAAAACCTTTACTATGAAAAAAAGAAGGCAGAACTTCCCTGCACCCCTTCTTTAGTATTATTTTCAGGCAGTGAGATACTGTTTTTCGAATCAGTTGTTGAACACATCTTTTCATTGAGCTTTCCATTGTATTGCAGCGAGAAGGCTACGGATTGATTTTTTTTTTAATTTTAAGTTTTTTAAATTGAGTCACCGTGAGATACATAGTTACAAAGCTGTTTAAGATCAGGTTTCAGTCATACAATGATCCAACACCCATCCCTCCACCAGTGTCCGTGATTTGTTACTTCTTGAGAGTTTCTTTCTTTCTTTCTTTCTTTCTTTCTTTCTTTCTTTCTTTCTTTCTTTCTTTCTTTCTTTCCACTGAGCTTCTGTTCTTTCAGTTGTTGCTCTCATGATTTTCAGTCAAGTATTTGGAGTCACGGCCTCAACCTGCCGTTAGAAAGATGCTGAGACATTGTTAAGCACTTGTGGAAATAGTTACAATGGTAAGGGAAAAAATACATCCAGCAAACTGACCTTAAATCATACAGCAAATTACAACGTAGATGCTTTTTACTCCGTTTTTCAAGGAGAGTGAATCATCAGTGAATTCTTTAGTATCTGCATTTAGTAAAATAAAATCTTAAGTCCTTCCTTCCTTTTAAGTTAAAGAGCCTATCCTGGTATTCCCTTCCTGGTAGAGGAAAACCAAGCTCATCTAGTAAATGGGTAAAACTGATCGGATTTTATGGCGGGCACATCAATGGTTTATGTGTATTAATTGAATCCACAGCAATCTGAGATTGATGTTGTTAACTCATTTCAAACATAAGAAAACACATACACATATACTTTCATACAGAAAATACTATAACCAAGCAGAATATTGTGTATTTTTTTGTTTATTTTTGACTTGGGGGCTACACCTGGTTGTAATGGGGACTGCTGACTGGGTTGTCAGCAATATTTTGGGGATCATGTGCTCCCAAGGATCAAACCAAGACCACTGATGCACCTCCTGCATACAAAGAATGCCCTCAATCAGTCCAACTGCCTCCTTGGCGCCGGAATACTGTTTTGCTTATTTCTACATCTGAAAGTGTGTTATGTCATATTTTTTAAAAATAATCTTAAAACAATAAAGAATCAGTTCTATATTTTCCCCTTAAATGAAACTTCTAATCTTTTTCAGAATTTCTCAAGTCCGGTTTAATTAAACATGCAATATTAGGTTCTTTTAAAAAGGTTTTTATTTCAGTTTTTAACCAGAGCAGTTTAACAAATAAATATGTTTCTCTCTCACAGTAGCTTTCTGAAAATAAGAATGATGCTGGGAATTAAAGACCATGATTTCCAATTGTAAGTTGGTTGGGTAACATTGGCTCAATCATTTAATTCCTTTTGCCTCAGTTTCTACATTGATAGAGTACATACCTTACGAGTTGTGGATTAAAATGATAGTAGGCAGGAATTTTGCCAAGGGAAAAATATAATAGAACTATATTGTTGTTAGTCATGAACTTGTTGTATTTATAAACTTAGGTTGAAGATTACCTGAAAACATGGGAATTGTGTGGAATTTGAATTCTCTAATTTTTAAATACTATATTCCAGAGGAATTATATTCCCAAACCTGAACCAGTTTAGTAGTCTCATCTACATGCTCCACAGTTATTAGTTCCCTCATGTGCTTCGTGAAAAGTCTGATTTCAAAGTGATCCTTGAAATACCCAGCTTTTCATAATATCTACATTTAGGATACAACCAGAGTTTTTCTGTATAAGAAGTCTTAGGAAAATTTTCTGGAGCTAATAATAGTTTTCAGCTGATAGAGTTATGGGTAGTCAGAATAAAAATATTCCTTGAAATAAATTTTGTGATACATAGGTATTTTTACCCCCTCAGCCAACCTAGGTAGAGCTGCATTTAATAGATATATTGAGGTGTACTATGCTTGAGGTTGGTGGGTTTCTATTTCAGTCTTTCAGGCATTATTTTCAAATAGCAGGAGATACTGTCCTTATTCCAGTAAATACCATACATAACTGTCCCTCCAGATTTTCAGCTGTCAGTGATTTTTCTTTTGATGTGGCTCAATAAAATTTGTTTCTGGTTCTGAAAACTTGTTGCTTTTCATAATAAAGATGCATTCTAAATGGTCTTATTCAGTCATACACTTACAGTTTAGCTATTCACATCTCTATAAACATATTATAGATATGACGTGTATTTTTTCTTTTTGCATTCTAAGTTCATCTTCAAAAAATGTATATATTTTTGGCATCGAAAGCATTTTTTTAATGTTAGTCTTCCCAAATTTGAATTGGTAAATTTAGACTGGTTGCAAATTTGCAGCTGTATAAATTATAAATAGGAAGTTGAGAGTCTATTATGAATGAATTTAGGTCTCACTAACATTATGCCTAGTAATTTGTATCACCTTGTTTCAGAAGCTCAACTTCCTCCTTTGTCTTCTGGAGGGCTTGCCTCCCTTCAGAGTTAGAACATTAATTTGAGTATTGTAAAATATCTAGAGGTTAATTGAGAAAATCGACTGAGTTTTTTTATACCTGAGAATGTGGAATGTTTGTGAAGATTTTGATTTTGGTTTAATAAATCAATGAAACCCAGCCAGGTATATTCTTGAATTATTCAGTTCCATGGTGATATTTGGCACGATTATGTATGGAACATTATGTTCTGGCAAATCATGGCTTTGTTTGCTGGTGAGGCATGGAAATATCTAAATTGTCAAAAATGAAGAACACCTCTCTCTGCAAATAACTTTTAAATATGTATGCATTCGGTTAATTTAAATTTTTCCATTGTCTTGTCTTAGTCTGATAAAACATAGCACTCTTACACATAGTTTTGTTTAGTGATAAAAAAATCAAAGCATCCATTACCCGCGATATTTCTGATTAATTTTGCACAGTGAAATTGTGAATTATAGCATGTTTGCGCTTATGCTTGTGGTCAGAGTTAAAAATTTACATATTAAAAACTAGTAAATAAAAACAATCAGAAAATTATAGTAACAAAATATAGGTAGATTTCCCAGTGCATGAAGCAAAGAGGAAACATTATTTCCCTCTGGAGATAGTAATTATATTTGATAGTCCGAGTTTCATTCTAGAAAACAGATATTTAAAAACAAAAAAATAGAATGATATAAATGAAAGTAAAAAAGTTGAAATGACAAGTTATTCAGTCTAGTAAGTAAGCAAGTAGTAAGAAAATAATCTTAAAAGATAATGCCACATTTTTGTAGGGGTATATTTTAAACTTCAGACTCCCCCCAAAAAACAAAAACTACACAGGATGAACCTGAGATGTGAAAGCTCAGGTGGATATAGTGGGAATTATTGGATGCTTGTGAATAGAAAGTCTCTAATTAGTTGGAGAGATGTGGAGCAATGTCATGAAATAAGATTAGGCACATAGGTAGTAGTATCTGCTTAATGTCATTGTCAAAGTATGAAGTGAGGCAGCCTCAGTTTTTCTTGTATGGCTTGTATATTTTCACTTATTTCATACCAACCTTATAGCCTTAGCATTATTTATTTTTAAAATGTCATGCAAATAATGATAGGCACTCAATACCAGAGACTTAAGTGATATTATTGCCCCCTTATTAACTGGCAGTGTTTGTGTTCCTGGCTATTCCATAACCCCATGCCTGTATGTTATATGATTGTAATTTTAATGGGCTGGAGTGATAGCACAACGGGTAGGACGTTTGGCTCACCTGAGTTTGATTCCTCTGCCTTCGATTCCCGCCCCCCCCCCCCACCCTCGGAGAGCCCGGCAAGCTACCGAGAGTATCTCGCCAGCATGGCAAAACCTGGCAAGCTACCCGTGATGTATTTGATATGCCAAATACAGTAACTTAACAAGTCTCACAATGATATTGGGCCCGTTTAAGCAAATTGAGGAACAATAGGAGGACAGTGACAGTGATAGTAATTTTAATAGTGATTTTATGTTCTGTAAGTGTAAATAATGTTCAAGTTAGGTGAATTTAGAATATGTAAACATATACAAAGTACAGCAAGACAATTCAAGGTTAAAAGAAATTCATTACAAAACATTTCTTATTTATGAAGTAATTAGCGATAGCACAGCGGTAGGGCGTTTGCCTTGCACGCAGCCAACATGGGTGACCTGAGTTCGATTTCTCCACCCCTCTCGGAGAGCCCGGCAAGCTACCG